GGAGGGTTGGGGCGGGGTCCAGGAGGCCGTTTACGAAGCTGCCACCGCCAACATTTCCAGTGTTAGTCAATTCCGTGCGGGGCGGGAGGGGAGGTAGCACCGGCAGAGAGCGCTGGCATAGCAGAGCCGCGACGAGAGCTGTGATGCCGACGGAGTGTCCGTGAGGACTGCCTGTGCGAGGAATGCCGTGGACTCGATTGAGTGGGGGATACGCGTGCGCGTGCTCCAGGCGCGGACTTTTTGGATTGCCTGATGGCGAGGGTCTGCATCTGGAGCCGTGGAAGGGGAGGGGGAGGTGGGGTAGAAGTAGGATTTTAGGTCGTGCAGATCCGAAGGGTGGCGCCAGGGTACTAGGCGAGCTGTCGGGGGCATCGTTGAGTTGCGTGTGGTGAGGGGGATTGTAGCATCATCAGTGTCCCCATCACTAAATTTTTTTCCCTCGTGCTCAAGTCGTTGCGAGAGGGGAATTTGGAGGGCTAGTCGGTACCCAGGCGGGATAAGGTTTTTCCGGGCTGGGCGGTCAGTTTAAGACGACCGTTGGATTACCGTCACAGCAGCGATCTAGTACTTGTATCATAATATTATTATTATGTTGTAATCTAGGACATTCCACCTTTATTACTCCTAGCCGGCCTTCCAGCTTTCAGAAGGGATAGGGGACCCCAACTGAAAATGTAAAGTTTCGATAGCTTCGTCCTCCCCCGGAAATAGTTGAAGGACATACAAGACAAGGAACACCAGGCTTCTCTGATGCTCCCCTTGGGCACTCCGGGGGCCCCTCCCATGCGCTTAACCTGTAATGAGAGTATTATGCAATGCCCGGAAGGCCAGAGAATACGCACAAACTGGTTTCGAGCGATTATGGGTGCACCGGGAACCTGCAGGGTTAGGGTTCGGGGAAAGCCAACCAGGCAGCCAGGAATGCTTAATTGTCACTCCCCGGGTATGGTACCTACAGTTTCAAGTCTGACAATACTCTTTTCGCGCCAAAATCTACTATTCCCAGTTCTGCCGCGGCAGGTCTTTCCAGCTAAATGCTATCCGCCGCCGCCGCCCCCGCACAACCAACCTACATACTCCGCGGCCACGCCACGCAGATCCACTCCGTGCACTTCTACTCCTCCAACACCCGCCTCGCCACGGCCGACGCCTCGGGCTGGGTAATCCTCTGGTCCCTGTCCACGCGCCGCGCAACCGCGGTCTGGAAAGCCCATGAAGGATCCGTGCTGAAAGTCGATGACTGGGATGGGAAGATAATCACGTACGTACACTGCCTTTCTCGCGGCAGGAGAAATTGTGTTGTTGACTGAGGCAGGCATGGGAGGGATAATAAACTTTTTGCGTGGAGGGTTGAGGAGGTGGGGATGGATGTGTTGTTGCCGGTCGACGACGAGGTGGGCTGGAGGCGGAGGCCGTGGCTGGTGGCTTCGCTGGATGTGAATGCGCTGAATTTTTGCGGGTTTGGGGGGTGGGCTGGTGCCGCCGCTGCTCCTGCTGCTGCGGGAGAGGGGGAGTATTTGGCTGCGGTGCCGGCGCCGCTGAGGGCTGAGGATGTCAGTTGGTTTCCTTGCTTGAGTGTTGGGGGTTCGGTGTGTATTATGGGCTAATGGGGTAATGGGGGCAGGTTGATATTATGAGGCTTCCGGATGGTGCAAGGGTTTATGCGGGTGTTCGGCATGAGGGAGTGAAGACTGGTTAGTATACCCCGATTTTTGCGCGCACCACGGAGGGAGAGGAGGAAATTGATATAGCGAAATAGGTATGGCAATGGCACTATCAATGTTCTACTCTGGAGAACATCTAGTGTTGATCGCGGGGTACGAGAGCGGACATGCAGTAGTGTACAAGTGGGATACAAAAGACACCTGGAAAGTAGTATATACTCATAAACCGCATTCACAACCAAGTATTCTCCCTTCCATATTCCACGCAAAAGGTTACTAACACAACCAGTCCTATCCCTCTCTATATCACCAACACCAGGTACAAATCCGTACTTCATAACCTCCTCCGCCGACGCCACGATCGCAAAACACCCTCTGCCCATCCTCACTACCACCCCTACCCCCAACACTCCCGATACTCCCCCGCCAAACGAGCCCATTAAAGTCATAGACACAAAGCACTACGGCCAGCAATCAATCACCATACGCTCCGATGGAAGGATCTTTGCAACTGCCGGGTGGGACTCTAGGATTAGGGTTTATTCGGTCAAGACTATGAAGGAGTTGGCGGTGTTGAAGTGGCATAAGGAGGGATGCTACGCTGTTGCTTTTGGGGAGATTCTAGATGGTGGGGGCGGTGGTGGTGGGGGGGAGCGGCAAGGGAGTGATGGTGACGGGAGGGAAGTGCTTAGTGTTGAGAAGAGACGGGAGAAAAAGATTAAGGAGACGCATTGGGTTGCGGGCGGAGCGAAGGATGGGAAGGTTTCGTTGTGGGAGATTTATTGAGGAGGGGGGGTCTTGTAAGGTGTGGTGATATATGGTTTACCGGAGCGGTAAATTAATGGCTTCCATGGTGGTAGGTACCGTAGAAACTCGAACAATTGGTACTCGCACTCGCATGGGGGCATTAAAGTTGCCTTTACTGGTAAGGTCCGGCGCTTGTTTGTTTCTTTGTCTTAAGCTGGGACTGAGAGGGTCAGTTTTCGCAGTGTTTTCACCCCCCCTCTAATCATGAGAGGGAACTTTGGACGTCTTAGCGGTAGATAGTCGTATGATACCAGTATTTGAAGCCCATTGAGCCCGCGCATGACGTTGGATGGTATCATACTTGCCTTGTATTTACGAGTATAATGACTGGCTATTGCGTGAGAAAGCCATCTCCGAGGATATTATATTTATTACCCTGAACGTATGATATTTCATTTTTCCCAGGCCCATGTTTCCCGAACCACCCAATCCTATAACCACCACTCCGCTCGAAACTACCCAACCACAACTTCCCGTCCCACAACCCCAACTCACCTCTTTATTCTTTAGCGACGTACTGTACGAGTACCTGAAAGCATCCCTTGAATTGTATGATGTCGAATTGTGCAACCTTTTCGCCAGTAGTATTAGTAGTAGTAATAGTGCTAGTAGGGGCCGGGTCTCGGGATGGTGGTTATAGTTGTCATGTAAGTACCGATATGGTAATTTTTGAGGTTTAGAAACTACTTGGTGGGCGGGTTCGTATCAGAGCGATATCTCTCCTCACTGGTGATGTATGATAGCTCTTGAGGTGGTAGTCTAGATAGAACTTTGGCACTGTGCAGGAAAGGCTGTACGAGTACTTATCACTGCCCCTCTCCACTGCATGTCCCCAATCCCATGATGATATAGCAAAGGAAAGAACCCTCTCCGTAGATAGCTAAAGCTCCAGAACAATTTCATAAACGATCTACAAGACTCCCGAGACTTCTGGAGTCAGCCGTAACCTCCCGACGTCCATCCACAGCCTCTAGCAGTGGCTAAGTTAGTCGCCATCTTCAATCTGCAGTTCGACTCTCGTTTGGGGCGTCACGAGAGATCACTCGCTTCTTGAAAGGGAATTTCGCTTTATCTGGTCCGTCGTGTTGAAGTGGCAGGTTTTTCTCTCTTTTTTCTACCCTACCCTGCTATGTTGGTAAGATGCTTTCTTCTGCTCATCTATTTCTCTTTCTTCTTCGCTCTCTCTAGGACTTCTTCGTTTTAGGATTTCCCAGCCTAACCTACTAACTTGTCGGTGGGCGGCCGCTCGCTGGCGACAAAGTCTCGATACCGCCACGGTACTTGGCGGTACCCTTCACGCCCTTTCATAAATTCAGGGAGGAGTAATAATAATTCGGGAATGCAGTACCGCGTAATGTAAGAGGTCGTATGCACGATGGGGAGAGTGGAAGGAAGGGAGGGATATATTCTACCCCGGAAATCAGCAATTCGGCACTCGTGCTCGGGACGAGAGCTCGTGTTTGTTATTCCACAATATCGACACTTTCCTAGCTATTACAAGTATGATATCATAGCAACTTCTCTACTCTACTCGGTTTATGATACAACCCCGGGAGCGGGGACGAGGGCAATGTGCATTGGGCAATGGGCATCGAGTGCTGAGCAGTGTAATTACGTAATAATTTCTTAGTGCTCCGGGATCCGCAGAAAAAGGCAAGTCGTATCAAACGGTATGCAAACAATCTCGTCTCATCCCGAAAATCTCAACTAGGATGCTCCTGCGATATCTATTTGACCGGCAACTCCTCTGCCGCCGAACTCACCAACAGAGGCTCCAATTCCTCCTCCCCCGAAAACAATTCTCAACAGCACTCCCGAGATTATCCTTGCCGCAAGAGTCTCCGGAGCTCCAAGACAACCAGCAGACCCTACCGCGGCCGGAAAACAAGGAAAACCAACCACCAACACTAAATCGACCTCTGCCTCAAAAACGT